GGACAGTGACTGGGCGGCCTGCCTGCGATACAGCACTGGACAGTGACTGGGCGGCCTGCCTGCGATACAGCACTGGACAGTGACTGGGCGGCCTGTCTGCGATACAGCACTGGGCGCAGAGCTGAAGGGCCCTGTCTATACTGCACTGTATTGTTCCACATGCTGTATTAATGCTTTTTCAATGAAGATATTGTATTCTGTATGTACACTCTGTTTATACTGTAACTGTGAAATTATAAAGTTACTTTTTAAAATCTTATTGTTGGACAGTTTTCAAGAGCTTGCTGGTTGGTTATATAGTGTCTTTCATCCGTCCCTGTCAGAGCAGTCTGTGCAGATTTGTTGCAGTCTGGTCATGATTGTTGGGTTATTCTGAAGCACTGGTACAAGCAGGTCTGTACTGCGTGTTCGAGTGACTGAGCGATTGGTACCTCACACACGACAGGCAGAAAACACTCTGCATCCGCACACTCTTATTTCTCTCTTTTTTTCTCTGAAACTTGTTTCCCTGACTCTTATTTTCTCTAACACTTATTTTTCTGACTCTCTAGTTTCTCTGACTCTTTTGTTTTCTCAGACTCTCGATTCTCTGACTCCCTTATTTCCCTGACACTCTATATCTCTGACTCGCGTGTTTCTCTGACATTCCCAGGCAATCAGCAGGCCTCTGGAGCACCAGATACTTCTGGAGGGTTTCAGCATCTAGATGTTGTTTACTGGGGGTTTGTGCATCTTGTAAGATTGTGTCGTGGGTGTGTTATCGCACGTGCAGAGGGGGCTGGGAGCACACTCCCAAGAACAGCAGTGCCCATCGGAGGGCGCTATATTGGACCAGTGAGAGCAGCGGTTTGGGTCCCTTGTCTGAGGCAGTGGTTCGATCCCCCTCCCCTTCTCTTCTGGTTTGCAGTTGACCTCTCGAGACCCCCCACTGAGGACAGTGGATCACTAGATGGTCAATCATGTTTTCAGTCCTTCTTGAGGACTTTGCATTAAGAGGGACTTCAGCATTAAGAAATGCACCTTCTTAAGTTGTTAGGATTAGTTGATCAGCAGCGAAACACCAACCAGAGGGCAAAACAGAAACTAAAGAAGGTGCGTTTAAAACTGGGATCGGGAGACACCTCTTTACACAAAGGGTGGTGGGAGTGTGGAACAAGCTGCCCAGCCACGTGGTTGAGGCCGATACCCTGGCTTCTTTCAAGAGACGGCTGGATGAGATCCTAGGATCGGTTACCT